TTTTTTTTTTTTTTTCCATGCTGAGAATATAGCTCAGTGGAAAGGCCCTGGAGTCAGCCCTCAGTGCGATAAATAAAGGCTATGGATGTAACTTGGTAGCGATATAGGAAAAAATATGTAGCTCCGCACCTGTTACGTGTCAAATATGCCGAGTTCATGATTCCACAACATCCAGGAATAAGGTCATGAGCCAAAAGAGGAAATTAGAGTTTTACTGGAAACATAGAGGAGAATAGCTCCTGGATTTCCAGGAGGAGGTCCCAGATGGGTTACCCCCGGGGCTGTCGGGGTTAGTGTATACAGCAAAGTCACAAGGTGAGTCAGACGCTAGTCAGCATATAGCCGCTGCTGGGGTGCCTGAGGAGAAAAGGTACTTTTGGAAATCGAGGGGAGTATGTGTCCAGGGGTTTTGGTCCCCACCTGAGGGTGACTCCTGGCCGGTCCCCTGAAGCAGGTGGTGCTTGTTAGAGTCACAAGTTGCTTTTCTTTCTTTTTTTTTTTTTTTTTTTTTTTTTTGGCGGAACCAGGGATTGAACTCAGGCCCTTGCGCTTGCCAGGTAAGTGCTTACCGCACTGAGCCATCTCCTGGGCCCCTACAAGCTACTTTTCATCTCCAGGGAGACTGCAGGCCTGAGGTCTCCATCCTCAGGGCTCCTCTAAGAGTGAACTTCTCTCTCTCTCTTTTTTTTTTTTTTTTTTTTTTTGGTGGAACCAGGGATTGAACTCAGGCCCTCTAACTTGCCAGGCGAGTGCTTATTCTACTGAGCCATCTCCCTGGCCCCAAGATTGAACTTCTGACACAATTCTGTTGTCTGATTTTCTGTGGTGACTTCCTTAGGGCCCAATCCCTCTCTAGCAGTATATTAACTTCTACCTAATTTAGTTGCCTGTCATATAAGAGGGACCTTGGGTTTTATTTCCAGGACACAGAAAAAAAAGAAAGAAAGAAAGAAGAAAGAAAGAAAAGAAAAGAAAAGAAAAGAAAAGAAAAGAAAAGAAAAGAAAAGGAAAGAAAAGGAAACAAAAAGAAAGAAAAAAAGAAAAAAAAAAAAACAGCTGAATAGACTTTGGGCTCTAGCGGCTGGCAGTGTAGTCAGTGGTGGGGCACTTGTCTAGCAAGCCAGGCTCTGAGTTTTTTCCCCAGCCCTCGCACACCTAAAACAGTACTTCTATTTCTCTCCGTGAATGAGGGACTTGCATTTACCCAACTGTCCCACTAAGAAACACCCATCATGCCTAGCTGGCCCTGCCCCCAGGCCTGCTCAGCAGGCCACAGGGTTAGGGTGTGGTAGTGCATGCCTGTAACCCCAGCACTGGGAAGGCTGAAAACAGGAGGATCACTAGGTCTGAGCTGTTTAGCCTGTGCCAAATGCATTTAAAGAAAAAAGAATGAAAGAAACACCATCAAAGCTATATAAGATGTAAAAAAAAAATTTTTTTAAAGTAATGGAAAGGTTGGGCCAGCCAAGTAGCTCAGCAGATTAAAGCACCTGCAAGCAGGAGCAGGGGCCAGGGGTTCAATCCCCGGACCTGCTGTACCAGCTCCGCCCCTGGGGCGCACTGAGATGGCAGTTGAGACTGGGCATGTGGTGTGTGCTGTAATCCTAGCTCTTGGGAGGCTGTAAACAGGTGGATCACTACAAGTCCGATCTAGTAGCGAGACCCTGAACACCCTGTAGGCCCTTCCCTAAAATACAAGAATAAATAAAAATAAAGTAGTGGAAAGGTATCAGAGAGACTGTAACAGCTCGGATTTGAGGGGAGCCTCTCTTTCTCCGTGCGTTTTAGAACTGCTCAGATTGGGGCCGAGGAGATGGCTCAGTGGAATAAGCGCTTCCCTGGCAAGCACAAGGGCCTGAGTTCAAATCCCGGTTCTGCAAAAAAAAAAAAAAAAAAAAAGAACAGCTCGGATTCCCTGGCCTGTCCCCTTTATTTGATGATACAGATTGTGGAGCAGAAAAGCTTGGAGTCGATCCCCACCCCTGTATTTTGTGCCAATGTTTGAGACTGTGGTGCAGGTCCCCTTGGCTTCAAGTCCTCACCCAAAAGCTCATGCATGCTCCGTCCCTCCTGGTTATTAGAGGCTCCTACTCTCCAAGTTCACCTGTCACCTCTCACAGTGCTCCAGGCACACGGGTGCTCCTGCGCCAGGCAAGTTCAAAGCCCCCGAGAGCAAGTTCCCGATAGAGGTCAAATGTCTCTCTCGGCCTCTGACTGCCTCAGCTTTCACAGTGACCAAGTGGCCTTGTGCTGCCTATTGTGCATACAGCCTGGCGGTAAAACACATGCCTAGCGTGCAGGATGCGCTGGGTCTGATCCCCACTAAAAGAAGGAAGAAAGGGAGACAGACAGGGAAAGAACAAAAGCAGAGTGCGGTGGCGCATGCGTGCAATCCCAGCTCCCTAGCAGGCCAAGGCAGGGGGACTGCAAGTTCAAGCCCGGTGAGACTCCATCCTAAAAATTTAAAAAGGGCTGGGGATGTAGCTCACTTCCCTAGTACCATAAAAACTAGTTAATGAAATGGAACCAAGCCTAGTGCTGAAGAGAACACAAGGAGGCTGATGCATACCTTACAGAGAAAGCCCAGGTGCCACATACACTTTGCTTAGGCATGAGTTACAATGCTGTTGTCCCACGTTAAGTGTTAGTGAATCAACAGTAAAGAAAATACAGTGTCCAGGGCCAGGGAGATAGCTCAGTGGAATAAGTACTTGCCTGGCAAGCGCAAGGTCCTGAGTTCAATCCCTGGTACTACAAAAAAAAGGTGTCCTTAAGCAGGAAGCAAGGATCTGTGTCACTGTGTTGGTGAAAATGTTTTGACCAGAGGCCTGCAGAAGTGTGTGCCCCTAGGAATGATCCACTAAGTATCTAGTGACCCTATGGCACCTGGCTGTCCTGAATGACAACAGTAGTGACCCTGGCCTTGCAGGACTGCCATGAGGCTGAGGAAGTCCACATGCATTGTGCACAGATCGGGCCGTTCCAGCACCCGCCCGAGTGAAGCCCTGCTGGCCACTTCCAGAGCCCGGGCTGCCTGCTCCATCAGATGCCTTGACCTGGGACGCCCTGCTGTCTCCCGTCTGTCTCAGCGCAGCTGAGCCTCATCCCCTGGGTAGCTGGTCAGCAGGTTCCGCACAGCACAGCTGGTGGTGATCAGCTGAGGCCAGCCACCTGGGTGACCAGCAGTTAGTGGTGCAAAAAGTGGACTGGTCTCACCTTGCCTGTAGATGTTGGCAGTCCCAGCGCTCATCAGGACTTCAGCTGACTTGTGCCTCTTGCTATTTTTTGTGGTTTTCTTACTCTTATTCGAGAGATATTGGGATCCACCCGTACCACCTGCAAACCCCGGAGTTGCCTGAGTAGCCTATGGGAGCGATGCCAGGCAGACCTCCTGCCTCGATGTAAACATCCCCTGTGCCAATAGCCACATGTGGCCAAGGACACTTGAAATGTGGCCAGCACAGCTGGAGAACTGACTTGATCTTACTTATCTCAATAAATTTAAGTAGCTGTACGTGACTCGTGGCCATCCTATGAGCCCAAGCTTAGAGAGAGACTGGGAAGCTCGTTGTGATGTATTACAGAAAGGTGAAGAAGCTTTTCCAGAAGCCCTAGCCGGGCCTAGTGGCACACACCTGTAATTGCAGCACTTTCAGAGGATGAGGCAGGAGGCCGGAAAATATGAGCCCAGCCTGCCTGGGCAACTGTAATGGTTGATACACTGTGTCAACTTGAGAAGTTTAGAAGTTTAACAAAAGGACTCAGCAGAGGCCCAGGGCCTCACTTTGGAAACACGCTCATCCTGTGTAGGAGGAAGGCCCAGAGATGGCAGTGTGAGTGGTACCCACGCCCCTAGGGTGGGCAACCTGCTTACAGTACAAGGGACGAAAGAGGCCTGCTCTCCCCGCTTCTTGCTTTTGCTTTCTGACGCTGTGAACTGTTGCCTCTGTCCCCCCTGTCTTGGAGCCCGCTGCTTATGGGCTGAAACCTCCACAAACTGAGCTAATAAAGCTCTCCTTCCTAAATTTTGAGTGTCGGGTATTTTGTCTCAGCAATGAGAAAAAATAACCAAGACAACACTTCACCAAGACTGGTCTCCAAGTAAAAAATTAATTAATTTTTAAAATGACCTGGAGCCGTAGCTCAATGTGAAGGCCCTGGATTCAATTCCTAGTACTGCAGGAAGAAAACAAAAAATTCCTGAAAAACTGTAACATTGGCTAGTATGTGCAAAGCCCTAGGTTTAATCCCCAGCACACACACACACACACACACACACACACACACAAAGTCCCATGATGATTTTTTTAAAATAGTACTGAGGATTGAATCTTAGGGCCTTTACACAGACCTACATCTCCAACCCTTTTTTTACTTTTTATTTTGAAGCAGGGTCTTGCCAAGTTGCCCAACCTGGGCATGAACTTGTGACTCTCCTGCCTCAGCTTCACAGCAAGCTCATTGTAGGTAGGGGCCACCATGTCCAGCTAATGTGGCTACTCTTTAATGCAGAAGTAGTGATAAATAAGCCATGGACTACTGGGTCACAATTAACTGGAAAACGGTAATGTAATATCTTTAATCTCTGACTTTTAGAATCTGAACTTCCGATACCTCCACCAGATTCTAACTGGTAAAAAGCAGAGTGTCCATTTGATGCACTTGAGGACCTCAGGAACTTCGGGCTACACAGGGTAAGATTCAAGCACCTTCCACCCCACGGAGATCTCCTCTCTTGCTCCCCTCCCTCTCCCTCACCCGTATGGAACCTGTGTCCCTCAGAGACCAGCTGTCGTTGGCATCGTTCCCCATCTCTAAGGATCCGGCACGTTCTCTTGAATGCAACAGTCATGCTGCGTGGCCGCCCCGTGATTCCGGTACCCCATCCCCTTTGTTATTTCCCTAGTAAATCAGTCAGGGTGGGCCGTGCTGCAGTAGCAGGCAGACCCAAGAGCGTCATGGCTCAAGCCATAATGGCTTGTGTGGCCCTCTGTGCAGGTGGTACCCACGGCGCACACGGTGTGCCACGTGCAGGCAGGCTCGGTGGCCTCCGTGCAGGGCACCGGGAGCGAGCTCAGCCGCTCTCTAATTCCATCTCCTTATGTCAGTGCCAGTCTGTCTTCTGCGCCATACAGGTCAGATCACCCTGTCCACGTTCCATTCCACAGAAAGGGCGAGAGGTAGCACCCAGCCTTCAGCCAGAGAATGCAGTCACGCGCCCACACACACACACACACACACACACTGCAGGCAGGCTGGAGTGTCGTCCTCAGGCTGTCCTGACTGCTGCCGTCTGCCCTCTGCTGGCTGGTGCCCACAGGGGCCTCCTTCTTCCCACAGATGTCCCCAGCAACAGGGGAGCCAAGCAGAGAAAGGCCCGTGAGGTCACTGAGGCCACCCCACAGTCCAAGATTTCTTGGTGCCATGTGGTCCTCTCAGGTCTGGAGTCGCCAGACACACACTGACACAGGGGGCAGGATAACTGCTTTAGTAACTCCTTTCAGAGGAAGAGTGACACCTCTGCCGGTGGCAGCAATGGCAGTCCACTGGGCAACCAGGGGAAAACCTCACGCAGTCCTCCCAATCCCTGGCTGAGCCTCTGGGTGGCTTTTCCTTGTCTGTCAGCCTCCTGGCTGCAGGGATGCAGGCCATGGGAAGTCTTCCCAGCCTGCTTCTTTTTTTTTTTTTTTGCGGAACCGGAAATTGAACTCAGGCCCTTGCACTTGTGCACTTGCCAGGCACTTATTCTACTGAGCTATCTCCCTAGCCCGCAGCCTGCTTCTTGCCTGCAGCAGTCTGGGCTATTTAAGGCTCACCTAGGCTATCCTATGTCTTTGATGATAGGATTTTCCTCAAAACCTGGTAGGCTTCTGATCTGTTTCCTGCCAGCCGTGCCTGGGTGTCAGTGACCACACCGAGAAGTCTTCCCTGGCCACTGTATTCCCACATGCCCCCATGCCAGCTCTCTGAACATTAAGGAGGTGCTCTAACATCGTAAAAAGAAAGCAATGAGACAGGACCAGCAGTACCCTCGATTTGGTTTTCCAGAGATGCGTGGGTCCCTTTTCTAGCTTCACGGACCTTTGTGTCCAAGGCATTAGCTGTCCTCTGACTCTTCCACTGGCAGGCAGCTTTGATCAGGAAATGTTTGGTTCCACTCCATCTCCTTGCAAATTCATCCCTGACCCACGATTTCTTGTCATACCTGCTAAAAGCAACAGAGAACTGCCCACAGGCAGGCACATTCTAACTCTGCTGCACCTCCTTAGCCACACTCTGGGCCCTGCAGGCTATACAGACACCATATGGCAGCAGGTGAGGCATGGCTCACAGGGCCTTTGAGCCTGGGAGCTCCCCCACCACCCATCCTGTGTTTGTGACGCAGGCACCAAGCCCCTAAGCCCCTGCCATGGGCTGCACGTGTGGTGTGCTCTGATGGCCACCACTTCCAGGCCCCTCCCCGAGGTACTGTGGCAATGAAAAAGCCCTGGTGGGAGGCCCTCAGTCCAGCTCCCTTCCCTGGGAGTCCCTGTGGCCTCTGTGGTAACCTCTTTGTTCTTCTATGGGTCACTGTGCAGGGCTCACCGACCTTACTCTGGGCTCTGGACTGGATTCCTAGGCCAGGTGTGTCTGTCTTGTGCTCCCAAATTCCTTAAGCAGCTAGCCTCTCCTGTTCTGTTGCCTTGCCCTGGAAACATCTATCACACTCCACCAGGCTAGGCCGACCCTCCCTCCAGAGCCTGTGGGTCTGTGCCCTTGCCCTAGGGGCTGGGTGGAGGAGGGATGGAGGGCTGGAGTTCATGTCTGAGACTCACTATCTGACAGCCACTGGGGCTTTACTTTCTCCCCTCAGCAACTCACATAATGGAGCTATTTGGTGTCTGCCTCATGACCTATAGATTTATTCTCCTGGGTGCAAAAGCTCATAAGTCAAGTGTAAAATAAAGTACATAAAAAGGTACATAAGCTAATAAGGAGCCATTTATAATATGAAGTAGAAAATGCGAGATGCTTTCTTTGTACGTTCAAAAAAGCATAACACTCTAGAAGGATATAGACTGCGTAGCTGCCTCTGGGGATGGGGACTGTTTGGAAGACTTACATTTCTCTTAACTCATGCAGTTTATTAGTCTATGCATAGTAGATATAGCCTACCAATGTAAAAATTAAGTAAAAATTAAATGCATGAATTTTCTGTTACTGAAATGGAGTGGGTTAGTAATCATGTGTCTGATGGCTGTGTTCCCCCCACAGGAGTCTAGACGAGACCACCTATGAAAGACTAGCAGAGGAGACCCTGGATTCCTTGGCAGAATTTTTTGAAGACCTCGCAGACAAGCCCTACACATTGGAGGATTATGACGTCTCCTTTGGGGTACCTCATGGCCTACTTCAATTATTCTGTTTCTTCCCTAAGACTCGTAGCTTACCGAAATAGAGTGTTGGGCCAGGGAGATAGCTCAGTAGAATAAGTGCTTGCCTGGCAAGCGCAGGGTCCTGAGTTCAATCCCCAGTACCGAAAAAAAAAAAAAGAATGCCCCTCCAAGCCAGGTGCAGTGGTGCAGGCCTATAACCTCAGCAGCTACAGAGGCTAAGGCAGGAGGATCCCAGGTTCAGGCCCAGCCCATGCCATTTAACAAGACCCTACCTCAAAAGAAAAATGGCTGAGGATATAGCTGAGTGGTAGAGCACACCTGAGGTTCAATCCCTCGTCCAACAGAAAAAGAAAAAAGAGCTGTGCATCTGCAATCCCAGGACTCTGGGAAGCTGAGGCACAAGGATCGAAAGTCCAAGCCCAGCCTGGGCAGTGTAGTGATTTAGCAAGACCCTGTAGCCCAAAATCAAAAAGGAATGTAACTCAGCACAAAGATCCTGGGCTCAATTCCCAGTATGTTTCAATAGATAGATAGATAGATAGATAGATAGATAGATAGATAGATAGATAGATAGATAGATGAGAGAGAGAGAGAGAGAGAGAGAGAGAGAGAGAGAGAGAGAAAGAGAGAGAAAAGAAAAGCAAACAAAGCAGAGCAGAGCAAGAAAGCCCCTCTGGCCGAGTTAAGCTTCAGCAGTATAGCATTATAAGTGAGACCAGAAGACTGCACTCCTAGGTTCCCAGTGCAGCACTCCCAGTAATCCTGGGCTAACCACTCCTATTTCTGACTGAGCGTACCGTTTCCCTGGGGCTGGGCATAGCTCAGTGGTAGAGCACCCGTCCAGCAATTCTGAGGCCCTGGGTTCAATCCTAGTACTGAAAACAAAATCTCTAAACTGCGCCACCATCATGGGGGTACTTCTAGAGGGACCTGGGCATTTGTTTGTGTAGCTAGCTGGTTGGTATGGGGCACATTGAACTAGACCCTTAGTTCTTAAGCAGGAGTAAGGTAATTGCCCAAGAGTTACTCAGACTACTCAGATGTGGACCCCACTTCTGGGCCATTTTGATGTGGCAGGTTGACTACTCCTGAAGAGGATTGATTTTGACTTCACTGCTGAGATGTGCCCTGGGCAGAGAATGTGGTCTTCCCAGGCCATTCTAACCTGGCCACCAGGTGGCAGACTTGAGCAAGTGTTTGTGGATTTGCTACTTTGGCCTTGGAGCAGCTCTTGCCATTGGGAGAAATCTCCTCTGCTCCTACATCCCAGGCAAAGATTAATCCTCGTGACAGAAATTAATACTAAAAATTGGCATACGGTATCAATTTTAGATGAAATCATGGAATTCTGCAGGACAGTCAGCTGACATTTAAGTGGTAGTATTGGGTGTTGCTGGGAATACTGCGTAGAAACTGGACTCCGTAAGACAGAGCAGGCAGGAAAGACGTGGAGGTGTCGGGCCTGGGGAGGGGGAGGGGTCGGTGGGAGAAGCAGGAGTGAGTGGGCACGAGAGGACCAGGCGCCTTTCCGTGAGTGCACTGGCTGCTGTCAGCAATAGAAAATGCAGCAGTGTCCAGCCAATATTATAAAAGGGGTTATGAGCCCACAGGCACATGCCTGTAATCCCAGCACTGAGGAAGCTGAGACAGGAGGATTGTTGTGAGGTTGAGGCCAATCTGGACTACCTAGTGAGGTAAAGGCCAGCCTGTACTACATAGCAGGATCCTGCCTTTAAAAAAAAAATTATAAAGTGGCTATAGGAGACTAGGTGTGGTAGTGCACACCTGTAATCCCAGCACTGGGGAGGCTGAAAACAGGAGGATCGCTACAAGTACAACCTGTTTAGGGAGACCCTGTACCAAATACATTTTAAAAAAAAAAAGTGGTTATGGAGCTGGGAAGATAGCTTGGCGGTCTAAGCGCCTACCTGGCAAGCTCAAGGACCCAGGTTCAATCCCTGGTACCACGTGCCCTGCCAGCCCCTCACCGTGCCAGCCACTGAAACCAGTGAGGTGTCACATGCCTGTAATCCTAGAGCTGGGGAGGCTGAGACAGGAGAATCACTACAAGTCTGAGCTGCATAGCGAGACCCTGTACCAAATAAATAAATGATGAAAAAGTGGTTATAAGGTGCTCCATTAGGACACTAGGTATCACATCAGTCTCATAAAAACTGGTTATGAAGAGAGGCCCGGAGGGCCGTGCTGTTTGGGCTGCTTCCTGTACTAGGTTTTCCCCCAACTACTCATGCAGGGATGAGAGGTGGGAAGTAAGGGGCCTCCCTGCATCCCCACCAGGGGCCATAGCTGCTACGGGGATGCCAACCCTTGGGCTCAGCCCTGCTGTGTCTGCCATGAAAGCAGGACTTTGTCCTTGTAGGACTAGTGAAGCCCCAGCTTGACCCAGGTAGTTAGCATGAATGTTTCATTAGAAGCAAATATGCCAAATATGTTCTAGCAACCAGCTTCATTTGACCTGGTTGAATTAGTTTGTATCAGGTGACGAACCTTCTGCACATACTGAGCCTCAGAACCTGCCCGAGACCAGAGTGTCTCTCGGAAGGCTTTTAGACTGCGGGGCTTTCCAGATTTCTGTTACCCCTTCCCGAAAGGAAAGAGGTGCCTGTGTTTCTCTGACTAGGCCACACAGAGGATCACTGCCCAATAAGGAAAAGTTATTTTGAACAAATTTCTTGTGATTAGCAAATTTTCAAGTGTGGATTTACAAAGCTAAAGGTATTTGGTGGCTGTCTCTCCAGTTTGGATTTATAATTAAGCACATGAAATGCTAACTGTTCTATAGTGTGAATGCCTGATTCGAGTTCCTCAGGTGCTCATTGATATATATATTTCTAATATAAGGTAACTCAAAAGGCAGGTAGCAGACAAAAGACCTATAATATAGTTACGAAGGACTTTGTCCCAGGGTAACCTTTTCCTGCCATCAGGGTCTGCCTCCTCAGGAAGGCCTCCTCCTCCAAGCAGACAGACACCTTCTTTCTCCTCTCCTGCAGCAGAGAATAAGCACGTTATTCCTGTGTATTTACGTAATGCTCCCTGGCCACAAGACACTGTCCCCTCCTTGGTCCCATCTCTGGAGCAGCACTGAAGTGTGGCCCACAGGCTTGTCCAGAACATGCTTTCGTCAACACCTATCAGCATTTATAGCTCTTCTGCCAACCTCTCACTGGCCAAGTAGATAGACGGAAGTGATAATTTGGATGAGCCCAAGCCATATTCTACAGCGCCCTCCCTGTGGAGTAGGAGGCTTAAGCAGCTGATTGCTGGCCTGTCATCAGATCTTTGTGGCCAGGTAGTCGGGGAGCAGGCCTCAACCCTTGCTGGGGATTAGAAGGGACACCACAGAGCTGTTAGAATCACCAGGATGTAAGGCTTTGGGGGCATGTTTTTGGGTTTCGGTACTGAGAATTGAACTCAGGACCTTGTGCTTGCGAGGCAGGCACTGTGCCGCTGAGCCATGTCCATAGATCATCACCATAATATTTGAACAATTACTTCCAATCTGCCTTCAACTTTTTTTTTGTTGAGCAGAGCCCTGGCCTCTTAGATGTCTTGACGGGGATTTGTTTGTTGCCATGTTCTCACTAGATTGCCTGTCTATTACTGCCTTGGAGCAGAAAGCTTCTGACATTTCGGGGATCAGGCCCACTAGAAGAATCTGCCGGCTGTGCTGGGCGCTCTCCTGAGAACACCTCCACTCTTGCCTGTGAGCCCAGCATGACATATGGAGCGGGGGCTGCGTGACCCCCGACCCCCCCGTGGATCCCAGGTCAAGGATCTTGCTCAGAGTCTACACTTTATGGGATAAAGGAACAAATACATGGCCTAGCATCCTGGAATTGAATTTCCCAAGTCCTTACCTGAGTTATCTGGTTTCTGTGAGCCACCAGATCCACAGCTATGAAATGGGTGGCATTAACCCATGCTTCTCCAGGTTTCTGTTAGGAGTATGCGGAACAACATGGGGGGCTGGCCAAATAGCTCAGCGGATTAAAGCACCTGCAAGCAGGTGCAGGGGCCAGGGGTTTGATCCCAGGCCTGCTATGTCCACCCTACCCCAGGGCGTGCTGAGACAGCAATTGAGACTGGGTGTGGAATCCCAGCTCTTAGGAGGCTATAAACAGGAGAATCACGATGAGTCCCATCCAGTAGTGAGACCCTAAACACCCTATAGACCCTTCCCTAAAATACAGAAAATAAATAATAAAAAAAATATTAAAAAAAAAAATGGGGCTGGTAAGATGGCTCAGTGGTCTAAAGCACCTACTTACTTAGAACAAGCTAAGCTCAGCAAAGCACAGGGACCGTGGTTCAATCCCCCAGCACCACATGCCAGCCAGCCCCGCCCCCTGGTGGGCTGAGCTGGCCACACACACACAAAATAAATTAAATAAATAAACAAATTTTTTTAAAAATTGATTTATTAAAAAAAAAACAAAAACAGGGCAGGGGGTGCAACTCGGTGGTGGGATACCCACTTAGCAGGCGTTCAGTCCCAGCACCAAAGAGCAAAACATAAGAAGTGCTCCATACTGATTGGCCTTACTCCTACAGTCAAGTCGAGCATGTATGAAGCCTCCTGACTCGTGTCTTTCCACAGCAGGCCAGGTGGCACATACCTGTAACCCCTGCGGTTGGGAGGCTGAGGCAGGAGAATCACAAATTCAAGGCGAGCTTGGACACTTTAGTTAGGCCCTCTCTCAAACTAAGTAAAAGAGCTGGGGATATAGTTCAGTGTAGAGCACCCCTGGGTTCCATCCCCATTACCAAACACACACACACACACACACACACACACACACACACACACCATAGAGTCAAAGTCATAGAAGGTAGGCAAATGGCACGTGGTTTCCAAGGGCTGGGAGAAGGACAATTAGTATGTAATGACACAAGTTTCAGTGACACAAGTTAAAAGGCTCTGGAGACGTTGCACAGCCATCCAGTGGTACTTGGCACCACTGAACTATGCGCTTTA